AAGTAAACAGAAGCAGTCGCAATTATCGGGAGTATTTTGAATGTTGTTAAAGTCGATAAAGTTGTTAAAGTCGTTTAAGTTCTTATATTAATCTCAGCATACTAATTCTAAATAAATATTATAATACAAACTCTACATTTGGGGGCTCGTACCGGGTCTGAGATAAACAATTAAGAAAAGAGTTAAATTAACTAGTGCGTGAGTAGAAGCTGTGAACAGAAGTTGTGAAATTCGGTTGAAAAAGGAACTGCGTAGTAAAGCGATTCAGGTAGAAAATATCAAAGAAGACAGCTGCGCAGTTTAATTCTGTACTCTTATATTCCTTTCGCTGTAACTTGGATACGGGGAAAAAATAAAAAATGACGCGTAGAACGCCGGCAAAAATAGAAGAGAAGTACAAGATATGGAAGAAGTCGAGGAGGAGCAGAAAGAAGCAGTGGAACTGAAAGAGAATGAGAATGTATTGGAAGTTTCGGATATGAAGAATAAAATCGACAATATATTGCAGTTGTTGTCATTAAAAATTCAAATTGATGAGAGCACAAATGGCCGCGCCAAGCCACAAATTGATAATTTTGAGAAAGTGGTAAACGATTTTGATGGTCAATTGGTGCAACAATGGTTGAAATGTTCGAAAAAAATGCAGATGCATACGATCTCACACTTAAACAGATGTATGTATGTACAAGCCAGAGGCAAGATGATAGGTGCAGCCAAATTGTTTCTACAGTCAGTGTGTGTGAGCGAATAATGAGCTAAAGAGAGCACTGATAGAAGAGTTTTCAAGCAGTACCACCAGCGCCGACGTGCATCGACAGTTGCAAAGCAGGAAGAAAAAGAAGAGCGAGACATTTCACGAATATATTTTACATTTACGTCAGATTGCCATGGCAGGAAAGGTTGAGGAATCAGCGGTGCTGCAGTACATCGTAAACGGACTAGTTGATGTAAAAAATGAGTACAAAGCAATACTTTATTCGTGCAAGACCTTCAAATCCCTCAGAGAACAATATGAAATTATAATGCAACTGGACGATAAGCCTCGTAATTCGTGGAACAAGCGGAGTGCATCACCAAATAACCAACAGAAACGAAAGGAATTCTGTTTCAAGTGTGGTTCAGCAGAGCATAAAATCAAAGATTGCCAGTCTCCAACGAAGTGCTTCAAATGCAATGAGAACGGTCATATTGCTAAAAATTGCCCGTTTGTAGAAGCAAATGTTCGCAAGGTGGTTGACCAAAGCCGTTTCAAACTAATCTCCGTAAATGGTGCTGAAATAAATTGTTTGATCGATACAGGATCGGATGTTTCACTTGTCACGAAGAAGATTGCTGAAAAAATTGGAAACATTGATATTTATAAAAGTGCATCGTTGTTGAGTGGTCTGGGCCAGAAAAAAACAAAGCCTATTGGATTTTTCACCGCTGAAGTTGTTGCCGATCAGTTATTCACGCAGCAAAAGTTTCTAGTCGTGCCCAATGACGTCATCGATTGTGCAGCGTTGCTAGGTCATGATTTTACCAGAAAGTTCAACTTTTACTGCGACGACAATGGCTTCAAATTGACGGGTTTGAGAACTGAAGATAAAGAAGCAGATGGATTTGGCTCCGATGTTTATAATATTATAGAAGCATCTAATTTGGTTACTGTTTCACCCAGGTATAAAGAAGCAGTGTCAAAACTCGTCGAAGAAGTCCAGAGAAGGCCATCAAACCCTTCTAACCAGTGTCCAGTCGAGCTGAAGATCACTCCAGATGGCGTAATAAAACCATTTCATCAGTCACCATCTCGTCTGTCTGCAAACGAAGCCGAGGCTGTTAAAAACCAAATAACAGAATGGTTGACCCAGGGAATAATACGTAAGTCATCATCGAACGTGGCCAGCAGAGTTGTAGTGGTCAAGAAGAAAGACGGTTCCCTTCGAGTCTGTATTGACTACAGAAAACTGAACAGCATGGTGTTGGCGGATTGTTTCCCAGTACCGTTGATGGAAGAAGTATTGGAAAAACTTCAAGAGGCCGCATTTTTCTCAACTCTGGATCTGGAAAATGGGTTTTTTCACGTAGCTGTGGCGGAGGCTAGCAAGCCGCTTACGGCATTTGTAACAAAAGAAGGACTCTATGAATTTAACAAAGCTCCGTTCGGATTTAAAAATTCACCGGCTGCATTTATCAGATTTGTTAATCACATATTTCAAGACCTGATCAACGACAATGTGATGCAGTTATACATGGACGATATTATTGTATACGCATCCACAGCGGAGGAATGCATGAAAAAGACAAGACGTGTACTAGAAACAGCAATGCAGTTTGGACTGAAGATAAAGTGGAAGAAATGTAGCTTCATGCAGTCCCGTATACACTTTTTAGGACATACTGTGGAAAATGGAAAGATATGGCCAGGCGAAGAAAAAACATCGGCAGTAAATAAATTTAAAACACCCAAAAATATACGAGCGGTGCAGTCATTTCTTGGTTTAACAGGTTTTTTCAGAAAGTTCATTCCAGGTTATGCTCATATTGCCCGACCGTTGACCAATCTCCTCAGAAAGGACGTCGAATTCCAAATAGGAAGCGCAGAACTGCAGTCCCTTCAAGAGCTTAAGCGAATTCTCTCCTGCGAACCGGTGCTACACATATACTCGCGAACAGCACAAACTGAGCTGCACACCGATGCATGTAAAGACGGATTTGGGGCAGTTTTACTGCAGGTATTTGATGGCCAACTACACCCGGTGTATTTCTGGAGTAAGAAGACGTCAGCTTCAGAGGCCGAAAGACATAGCTACATCTTAGAGGCGAAGGCTATCTATTTAGCGCTCAGAAAGTTTCGTCATTACCTCATGGGCATTCACTTCAAGCTTGTCACAGATTGCTCCGCGTTCAAAACACCACCAGAAAAGACGATATTCCGAGAGAAGTTGCAGCGTACGTAATGTATCTACAGGACTTTAGCTGCAATGTTGTTCACAAGCCAGGGAACAAGATGAAACACGTGGATCACCTGAGTCGCCATCCAGAGTCAGTTTGGATCGTAACAGCAGAAGTAGCAGCACGCATCAGGAACGCACAACAGAATGACGAATACAGTAAAGCAATTCTGGTCATTCTCCAGGATCGTCCATATCAAAATTTTAGGATGAAAGGCGATATTCTTTACCGAACAGTCGAAGGCAACGATCTTATTGTTGTGCCGAAATCGATGGAAAAAGATGTCATTCGAGAGTCTCATGAAGTCGGCCACTTTGCAGTTCAAAAAACAATTCATTCCGTAAAGCAGCAGTTTTGGATCCCTCACGTAGAGCGGAAGGTAACGAATTTTATAGCCAACTGTATTAAATGCATTATTTACAGTAAGAAGATGGGAAAGCAAGAAGGGCTATTGCACTGCATCGCCAAAGGAGATACCCCGTTGCATACACTACATATCGACCATCTGGGGCCAATGGACGCCACATCAAAGCATTACAAATATATATTGGCAATTGTCGATGGATTCGCCAAGTTTGTTTGGCTCTATCCCACCAAAACTACAGGGCAGGAAGAGGTTATCAGGAGATTCACTGAGTGGTCCAATGTGTTTGGATTTCCTAAACGTGTTGTCAGTGATCGTGGTTCCGCATTTACATCTGGAGCGTTTGAAGAGTGGCTGAACATCAACAAAGTGGAACATATTTGCTCAACTACTGGAGTAGCTCGTGGAAACGGCCAAGTTGAGCGTATTAACCGATCAATCATTGCTGTCATCGCCAAGGTATCGGCAGAAGAGCCTAGCAAGTGGTTTAAATATGTGCCTCAGGTGCAAAAAGCTATAAACTCACAAGTAAATTCCTCAACAAAAATGTCGCCATTTGAGCTGTTGTTTGGGACACGAATGTACAGCCATGCAGAAGAACGTTTGCAAGAAATCCTAAATGAAGAGTTTGTCTCCCAGTTTAACCTTGAGCGACAAGAAATGCGAGAGACAGCTAAAAAGAACATTGAAGAGGCGCAGCAAATATATAAGCAAAACTACGACAAAAAGCGCAAGCGTGCTCACGACTACAGATTGGGTGATCTCGTCGCAATCAAGAGGACTCAGTTCGTCGCAGGAAGGAAGCTGGCTAGCCCGTATTTAGGACCATATGAGGTCGTCCAAATTAAGCGAAATGGGCGGTACGACGTGCGCAAAGCAGCCCAAGTGGAAGGACCAAACTTAACCAGTACTAGCTGCGATAACATGAAGCTGTGGAGGTTCGTAGCCGACAACGACGACGAGTTGGTTTCATCTGGGTCAGATGAAGATGAGCAGGAGGGCCGAGTGTAAAGTAGTGAGGAACTGGCGGACAACGAATACCTAGGGGTTTCGTTGTGAATGGCGTTTGAGCGATCGAGAGAGAAAAGGGAGCGCGGATGAGTTGCGGAAAAGAAGTAAACAGAAGCAGTCGCAATTATCGGGAGTATTTTGAATGTTGTTAAAGTCGATAAAGTTGTTAAAGTCGTTTAAGTTCTTATATTAATCTCAGCATACTAATTCTAAATAAATATTATAATACAAACTCTACATATATACAAGAACGGAACGGGTCGGATCAGACGACTATATTATATAGCTGCAATATTAATGATCGAAAAATTTATACCAAAAAATTATAACATTTTCAGTTCTCAACAAAATTAGATCAAATTTGAGACATAGCCATTTCATATTAGTCTTACATTTTGTGTCAAAATTTACGAAATTCGGACGATTATATCATATAGGTGCCATACAAACGATCGTTAGATGTAGAGGAAAAATGCAAATCTGTGGATGTTAAATTGTAAATATAATATGTATAGGTGAATGAAATGAAAGCACGTATTACTTCATTGTTTTTTAACTTAAATATATAAATATATATATATATATATATATATATAATTTTTTTTTTGTATTCTTTTCGTTTTTTTGTTTTTTTTTTTGGTTGGCTTGTTAATTAATTTACTTATATATATTTATGTATTATTTATAATAGGAGCTGCAAGATTTTGTTGATGAGGCCAATGTAGTACTGAAAATAGAGCTGCAAAAGGATGATTTTGAAGGTTTAGTCAAGATTTTATCTGTTCTGAATCAGATCAACGAAAAGCAGTACATATATGATTCTATGTTTGAACCACTTAAGGAAATTATTGACTTTCTTAAACTTTACAACTACGAGTTCAAAGACACTGAATTGGCCCAAATTAACGAGTTACCTGATGCTTGGATGAAAGTGAAACGCCTAGCAGCTACGACAAAGCAGGTTATTGCTCCAATACAAAGCTATCAAGTGGATCTTATTGAAAAGCGCATTCTTCTCTGCGACAATATGGCAAATACCTACCGAAAGAAGTTTATTGGAAAGAAGTTCTTTTTTGTTCCGTGCTTAAACTGCTATGATTGCATTGACGAATCAGATTTGGAAATTGTTGCTTTAGAAGAACGTCAAAAAAGTCTAGCTGAATCAGCTGTTCTATTTGAATTACAGGGCCCAGATGCTTCAAAAATAGAACTTTGTAGATTTGACTTAAAACTGGTAAAGATAATGTGGGATTTTGTCATCACAATACAGTCTACTATTAACGATTGGAAAAAGACTCCGTGGAAAAAAATTGACATCGAAAATATGGATCAGGAGTGCAAAAAGTTTGGCCGTGAGCTTCGTGGTCTTGATAAAGCCATGCGAGATTGGGAGCCATTCATTTTTATAGAAGCATCACTTAAAAATCTTATGACCTCCCTTCGAGCGGTAACTGAGCTACAAAATCCCGCCATCCGGGATCGTCATTGGGTAGAATTGATGCAAACCACCCAAGTTAAGTTTAGCATGGATGATTCCACTACACTTAAGGACTTGATTGATCTCAATCTTCACGAGTATGAAGAAGAGGTAAAGAATATTGTCGACAAATCAGTTAAAGAAATGGCAATGGAGAAGCAGCTTAGAGATATAGCTGCTGCTTGGGCCACTATGGAGTTCGGCTCAGAAATACATGAACGAACCGGCATTAAGCTGCTAAAAGCATCTGAAGAAATGATCGAAACATTAGAAGACCACCAAGGACAACTTCAGAATATGGCCTCATCAAAATATATTGCATTCTTTGAACACGAGGTGCGCCTTTGGCAAAACAGATTATCAAATGCTGATCAGATAATTGGATCTTGGTTTGAAGTGCAACGAAAATGGCAATACTTGGAAAGCATTTTCATCGGATCCGAGGATATTCGGTCACAGCTGCCCGAGGACTCAAAACGTTTTGATTATATTGATAAGAGTTTAAGGCGCTTTTAGCTCAAATGAACGCCGACAGGAATGTTGTGAGATCCACAAATAGATCCGGCAGCAAGTTGTATGAACATCTTGAGATGTTGCTTAAGATGCTGCTGCTCTGCGAAAAGGCATTGAATGACTATTTAGAAACCAAGCGCTTAGCCTATCCTCGATTTTATTTTGTATCTTCCGCAGATCTGCTAGATATCTTGTCTAATGGTAACAACCCTGCCCTTGTTGCGCGGCACTTAACAAAGCTCTACGACTCGATGGGAAAACTTAATCTTATCTCTGGGTCAAAGCTTGCAGCTGGAATGGTAGCAAAAGAGCTAGAAGAGTATGTTCCATTTCTGGAGAACTGTGATTGCAGCGGTAAAGTAGAGGTCTGGCTTAACCGAATAACAGATAAAATGCGTGATACTTTACGCGACCAACTAAAGCGTTCCTTAACATTTTATGATAACAAGCCTCGCCACGTATGGATATTTGAGTGGCCTGCCCAGCCAGCTCTTGTTGGTACACAAATAATGTGGACTACGGAGACTAATGATGCATTTGCCAAGGTTCAACAGCGCTATGAGAACGCACTCAAAGATTATAATAAAAAACAGGTCAACCAGCTTAACAATCTTATAATACTACTTTTGGGCGATCTCACAGCCGCCGAAAGGCAGAAGATCATGACAGTCTGTACCATTGACGTCCATAGTCGCGATGTTGTAGCAACTATAATAGCCAAAAAGGTAGAAATACAAACCGCCTTTCAGTGGCAAAGCCAATTGCGACACCGTTGGGACCCTAAGATTGATGATTGTTTTGCTAATATCTGTGATGCCCAATTCCGTTACGATTACGAATACTTAGGCAATACGCCGCGACTTGTGATTACACCATTAACAGATCGCTGCTATATTACCCTTACTCAGTCACTACATTTGGTGATGGGTGGGGCTCCTGCAGGACCGGCTGGGACTGGTAAAACAGAAACTACTAAAGACCTAGGACGAGCTTTGGGTATGATGGTTTATGTGTTTAATTGTTCAGAGCAAATGGATTATAAGTCCATAGGCAATATTCACAAGGGCCTAGCGCAAACTGGTGCTTGGGGATGTTTTGACGAGTTCAATAGAATTTCAGTGGAAGTTTTATCCGTAGTTGCCGTGCAAGTAAAATGTATACAAGATGCTATTAAGAGTAAGAAACAAATTTTCAGCTTTTTGGGCGAGCCTATTGTTTTACGTACCACCGTTGGCGTGTTTATAACGATGAATCCCGGTTATGCTGGACGAGCAGAATTGCCGGAGAACCTAAAGCCTTATATAGGCCATGTGCAATGGTTGTACCCGATTTCGCTTTAATAAGCGAGATAATGCTGGTGGCCGAGGGATTTCAGGAAGCTCGTTTGCTCGCACGCAAATTTATCACTCTTTATACTTTATGTAAGGAACTCCTCTCTAAGCAAGATCATTATGACTGGGGTCTGCGTGCAATTAAGTCAGTTCTTGTAGTGGCCGGTGCGCTCAGGGTAAGTTTCTATTTGTGTTAAATAATTTTTTTTTAATATTTTCGGAATTTATATATTGTAGTTGCTTAACGTTAGGCTCTATCAACAATTGTTAGGGGACATAATTGCATACTTCGGAAACAGGAAATTTTTAAACTCATCTAGTTTAAAACTAAAGCTCAAGGATTAGGAATCATAATGCACCACAGTCAGAACACTTATGAAAATAAATATATTAGGACACATATTTTGGGTATAATTTATTTACTTGTATTAAATCTTTTGGTATTCCCGTAGGCATTGCCTTCTACAGGATCAAGCAGAGTTGTAATACTGATATTTATTTTAGACCGGAAGCATTACAGTGGAAGGTGCTGATCATTCTGTAACGATTGGCCAGCTCATTACCGATTTAGATGACCAGTGGTCAAGTACTCGCAATTTGCACGCGTGTCAAATATCGCATCCAGTTTTAGTTGGTGTCCAGTTCTAAATTATATGCAAACTTTGGGCTCGAAATTATGAGTTATTTAATTTGTGAACAAGTGTGACTTTCTACACGATTTATTTTGAGACCAAATCCACTTATTCGAAATGTTTACTCCGACCTGTATTGTTTCATTCTTTTGAAACAAACTTTGTATATCGAAATACATTAACCAAAATATTTAAATTTAAATTTAAATGTAAACAAGAAAATAAGCTAACTTCGGCACGCCGAAGTTTATATACCCTTGCAGATAGAACTTCGATGATTAGGAATCCAAACAATATTAATTACATATATTTGTGTTAAACAACAATGAAGTAATACCTGATTTCATTTCATTCACCTATACATATTATATTTTCAGTTTTACATTCACTGATTTGCATTTTGCTCTACAACAAACGATCGTTTGTATGGCACATATATCATATAGTCGTCCGATTTTATAAAATTTGACTCAATATTTAAGACTAATATGAAATGGCTATACCTCAAATGAAATAAAAATTTGTTGGAAACTAAAAATATTATAATTTTTAATTGTATTAATTTCTATACCTCAAATTAAATAAAAATTGTTGAAAACTGAAAATATTATCATTTTTAATTGTATTAATTTCCCGATAGTTCCTATGGGAGCTATATGATATAGTAGTCTGATATTAATAAAATTTTACACAAAATTGTAGAGTATAATAAAATGACTATATCTCAAATTCACGAATATATATACTTTATATGGTCGGAGGTGCCTCCTTCACTGCGTCGCAAACTTCTGACTGAAATTATAATACCCTGCAAGGGTATAAAAGCCTGAGGAAACATTGGTTAATTGTAAAATTAATCTAAATTTCGAAACATTTAAACCTTTTAGCTGTGCCCAAGACGACTCGCTTACTCAGAGAAGGAAAAATTACAGCGGTTGCTAGACGAATATTTAAAAGAAGGAATTATACAGCCCAGCAAGTCCGAGTTTGCTTCACCCATAGAGTTAGTCAAAAATAAGACAGGAGACATTAGATTGTGTATAGACCTTAGAACCTTAACAAGATTTTGATAAAAGACAATTATCCAATACCGCTCATCGATGATCTCTTAGACAAATTAGTTCATAAGAAAGTTTTCACGAAAGAATGGTTATTTTCATGTTTTTGTCAATAAGGAATCGGTAAATATACCTCTTATGTTGCACCGTTAGGTCAATTCGAGTTGATCAGTATGCCAATGGGCCTTAAAACTGAGTCAGCAGTGTTTCAGAGATTTGTAAACAAGATTTTCGAGGATCTTATTAAAGATAAAAAAATAATTGTGTATATGGATGACATAATGATCGCCAGCAGGGATATTGAGCAACATTTGGAAATCTTGAATGAACATGAACTAACCGGCATTAAGCTGCTAAAAGCATCTGAAGAAATGATCGAAACATTAGAAGACCACCAAGGACAACTTCAGAATATGGCCTCATCAAAATATATTGCATTCTTTGAACACGAGGTGCGCCTTTGGCAAAACAGATTATCAAATGCTGATCAGATAATTGGATCTTGGTTTGAAGTGCAACGAAAATGGCAATACTTGGAAAGCATTTTCATCGGATCCGAGGATATTCGGTCACAGCTGCCCGAGGACTCAAAACGTTTTGATTATATTGATAAAGAGTTTAAGGCGCTTTTAGCTCAATGAACGCCGACAGGAATGTTGTGAGATCCACAAATAGATCCGGCAGCAAGTTGAAGGATGTCTTTCTAAGATTAGCTCAGAACAGGTTAGAATTGCGAATTTATAAGTGTGAGTTCCTTCAATCAAATATATAAAAATTTAGAGTTCATTATAAGTGGCGAAGGCATAAAAGCTAAAAATGATACAATCTATAGATGATAAAGGGATAGAAGCCATTCCGAATTTTCCGGTCCCAAACAAAACACAATCCGTGCAAAGTTTCCTGGGCTTGTGTTCTTACTTTCGTAGGTTCATAAAGGATTTTCGACGTTAGCAAAACAATTATATGATCTTTGAGACAAGATCTGCTTTTTATCACTCAAGGAAAAATTGGTGCAAGCACCTGTGTTGGCAATTTCCAATTACAAAGACGACGTAGAACTGCACTGTGGTGCCAACGCTCTCGGTTTTGGCGCGGTACTATGTCAAAAGAAGGAAGATGGAAAATTACACCCCATATTTTATTTCTCTAGACGCACAACCGTTGCAGAGGCTAAATATCACAGTTTCGAGCTGGAAACTAAGGCCATTA